AGGTTATAAAAGTCATGCTGTTATGTCCAGCCATGTCAGGGCCCTGGACAACTGTACATGACCAAAAGTGACATTAATACCACACTGTATTGTACCAAAATTGGATATTAATGAGGAAATTCCAGTCTTTTTTCAGTAGGATCTTATTGTGATCAGTTAAGAGCTGTATTTCCAGGAGTGTTAAGGGACACAAATAAAACTCAAAGTAAAAATCTGGATATTTATATAACCTAAATGATGCATCAAGACATGAGATAGTTTAATTGAGCAATGCTATTGTCCTTGGGAACCCAACTCCTGTGGAAGTCTTCTCTGGGCACAATCTGCTGTGCTACTGGGCAAAAGATTAATGCAATTAAAATTAAGTCTCAAATTATTCACCCAGGCCAAGCAGGAGAGAAGGGGTCCTACTGTTGATATCAGCAGTGGGTTCATTCTGCCCCTCCTTGTACTCCTGCACCCTCACCAGACGTCAGAGGCAGAATTCATCCACACAGGCTTTGAAGTCTGGGATGGCATTGTGGAGGGATAGGTGCCACCAGATCATGGATATTTTTTCCTACAGTAATTGCCAATTAACAAGCAAGGGAAGCTGTTCCTTGGAAGTGCTCATTGCCCAACAGCTCCTGGTTCAGATGGAGATTCCTCCGTGCAGTGGGCAGAAGTAACAGGCTAAACCACCCCTGCAAGCCAAACCCACGTGGCACAGGCTTGCCCAAAACCAATAGCAATTGATTATTAGCTAATGAATCAGTTAATCACAGTCTGATATGTGTTTGGCCTAGAAAATGCTCACTAGTCCTACATATGCAACATGTTTACATTAACATTTTGGAAAGCTTAGCAGCTTCCAAGTTCCTTTATGTTTGCACACAGCAGAGATCTCTAGGAGAATCTGATAAGGAAGCAGTGTACACTGAATTATTATAGCAGACACCTGAATGGAAACAGTCTTAAGGCAAGGCAGCTCCGCTTGCTTTACACACAACTTGCTGCTTTCTCATTATATTCTTTATCTATTGCTGAGTCAAGAATAAAATCCAATTTTGTCAAACATTTTAAGCGAAATATAAAGGCCAGGGAAGAGTTCTTTTTCAAATGACTTCCTATTTAGGTGTGCCCTTGTCTGAGACCGGGGTAATAAAACATTTTAGCCTTTTCCAAGAGCCAGATGTCAACTGCATGGAAACCATCATCAGCACATCTCTAACTAAAAAGCGTCACTGAACAAAGCTTGCCTTGCTCAGGAGCTCACACATGTTCCATCAAGATTTTCAGCTTACAGACAGAAGAAAAAGCTCGGATTATCCTGTTCCTTTGCAACTCTCCCAGTCCTTTACATCTCCACTAGGAATCCAGGAAGGACTTCAATAGCTTTGGTTTCTCTGGAGCATATTTTCAAATCAGCCATTCAGTCTCAACCCGATCATGAGGGCAAGGCAAAGGGGGGAACACTCACACAACTCCCTGCAAACTCCCGCTCTAAATGCACAGCAGAAACTTGTGAAACATTTTCTCAGATGGCGAAGAGAAAGCCCTGGGGGATGAAGGCATTATTTGTTGTTCTGTGCCTGGAACACCCGAGAATTCCCTGTAATGGAAGAGGAGACCACGGGGAGCTGCAGATGTTCCCTGCAGCAGCAGCAGCACAGGCAGTCCCTTCTGGCAGCTGTGTCACAGAGACCTGGATGGCTCTAAAGCATTGAGATCCCAGTGGGGCCACGCTGGTGTTTGCAGGAGATGAGAGGAAATATTCACATTTTTAACGACAGTTGTAAAATCTCGAGGCACTTGACTACACCAGCAGCTCGGCACCGTTTCTCAGATCACTACTCATTTCTTCACATCATATGAAAGATAATAACTGCTTGCACTCAGGTACAATAGAGGTGCTCTGTTAGGGTGCAGCTGTCAGTGGTCTGTCACCCTGCCTCCCACACCACGGGCTCTGTGCTGACAGGAACGTAGAGTGGCTCTGCTTCAAGAGGCTCTACAAGCCTAAAAGCACCTTACTGGCAATATAAAAAGCTCCCAAAAATTAAACAGTGAGAAATATTTCAGCGTGTGCATTATGTAAAGAGTCATAGGAGAATGACATGAGGGGGCTGCAGAAAGCTCAACAGACCAGCGCAGGGGATTGCGAGCTGGTTGCTGAGTCTTATTTGCAATTCAAGAGGTCTGTGATTGATCAGACCATTGTTTCTTCTCCTCTAACTACAGCCCTTTCCACCCTCAGGGAAATACCAAAGAACAAGGAGCGAATAATGCACTTAAGGTATAAACCTGTGGCATTTGGTGGATATTTTAACTAATGCTGGCATTTCATTACTGATATAAGATAAAGAATTATACAGCCTCATTCAGCCTGATTTCCCTCACACTATTCCAATCAGTAGCAATTGCAGCCTAGGTCTCAGGCTGAAGATTATATTTGCAAATTAGATTTTGAGGGGTGGGGGAAACGAATCTGTTAGTCCATGGTTTGATCAAAAGTTTGAAAGCTAGTCTTACAACAAATGGGTGAAATCTTGGCTGCAAAGTCAACATGAGCCTCATCCAAAATTTCTCACAGCCCCTTTAATAGCATAAATGTTTCAAGCTAGTACATCTGGGTCTCTGAAACAGTGGCAGCAGTATTTCAAATATTCTCAAAGCCAGATACTTGGATGGGCTTGAATTGGTGACAATAATTGTGAAGATCAGCTTCTCAGGCCAAATAGAAACACGCCAGGACCACGCAGGCAGGCTCAGTTGTCTCACAGGAAACACTTGAGCGAAGCAGGATGCCAGGGCTTCAAAGAGGAAAAGCTGGAGGGCAGAGCAGCACACGTGCTGAGTGGCAGAAAATTAACAATTTTGATCCTGCAGCTACTCCAAAACACATATTGCCAAATACACCAAGGCAAAGAACAGAACAGTAGAATTTAGTGAAAAATTAGAAAATACTTGGCGTGTTTGGGGTATCAAATAACCAATATTTGTTCCCCAGACTGGAACTGATGAACCAAAACTTCCTTTAGGGCAAAGAAGGCACCACAAGAGATGCATCTAGCAGCATTCAGCAGAGCAGCACATGCCAGAGCTTTGCCATCAGCAGGATTCTCCACACAGCAGTTAAGGCAGGTTTTTTTTTTTTTTTTTGGTAACATTTCTAAAACAAACTTAGGACAAATCTGACCAAGTTCTATACAGTGCTTTCTCTTGCTCTAAGAGAAATTGATTTGATAAGCAAGCCAGATTGCAAGCCACTGCTTCCAACAATTAACTTGCAAGAAATCCTGTGATGAACCTTGGTCTCTTTTCACACTGACTTTATTACACTCACAAAACTTTACACTTGTTCATATACAATGTGAAAATAAAACACTGCCAGGCTAGCAGACAAATCAGTGACCTAAATGTTCCAGAAAATGAAATTATATATGCCTTGGCTGTCCTGCAGGGCTTGCAGAAGCAGGAAGAAGTATCACCAAATAACTTGAATTCAATAATTCCCCAGAAGCACCAGTTCCCATAACCCTAGGAAATTCTGATACAGTCAGAAGGAGAAAATACATCTCTCTGGCAGCTAACTACAAAAAGAGAAAGTGGGATGCTCAGGAAAAAGAAAACTAAAAAGAGAATTATAGACTGGAAGATATATAGGAAGAGAAGGAGCAAAAGATTTCTTTTCTGTCAAGCAGAGGGTTACAGATCCATCCTGTGTTAACACTTCCTTTCCAATTTGATCACAACCACCTTCATTTTTTTATTTATTTTAAACCCTGGCTTTGAAGTGGTGGGTTATGGGAATGAAATGAAAGGATGCTTTACAAAACACCTCTTGATCAGCCATTTGGTCTGACCAGCTGAGCTTCTTTTAATGTTATGCAAAAGAAGCTGAACAGGCCCTCAAGCAGAGGATGCTCCTGGCCTTAACTGGAGCCTGATCAAATCATTGTTTTCCTATTAGAGGGTGCAGTCTTGCAGCCCTGCTGCTGAAATGGTGCTTTGATCATATCTCGTGGAAAACTGGCAAGAGCAACCATTTAATGTCACATTTCTGCTTTTATTCTACAGCCCTTATTACTTTACATGCATAAAAAATGCATGGCTACTTATAAATCTTTGATTATATTCTGGACTAGACCTGTTACATTTTTCACCTCCCCTCCAGGATAAAGTCTGGAAAATGCATACATTCCATACAGGGCATGGGATACTCTGCAGATTTGAACACAGGCATTCATTCAATGGAGAGCAGCAGCTGTCCCCAGGAACAGTACCAAAACCAGTAATGTGCAATTTGTCCTTTTTAGCAAATAATTAGGTTGAAATTGTGAGAGGCAACCTCAGTGTTACAGTTCTGGGAGGCTGAGATGCTCCTCTTATGAATGTCCCTCCTTTCATGTTCCTGCTGCGAGACACAGCATGAACCAAAAAACTCTTATCAGGTGAGCTGGCAATAATTATTGTTTTACAGCTCCATGCAAGAAGGCTACCCTGGGAAAGGGATATAACCTAGCTCCCTGAAAAAGTGGAACAGCAGCATACAAACGTACTTAGTAGTTGGAAGGACTCACTCATAAAAGATTCATGGTGGCTATTTTGTACATTCATTGAGCAAAACTCCTAGCAAGAGTTACTCTTGACAAAGACACCTATGCTTTGCTCTGCTTGCAGGTATCCTCCACATCACTCACCCTTCAGCCTACTGCTCCCATCTCCTGCTGCCTCAATTCCCAGAGGGCCAGGCAGCCCGTATTAAACTTGCTGCAGTGACGAGAACATCCCCGGAGAAACCACTTCTACCTGGGAAATGGCCCATGAAGCTCTGTAGGCGCTCTAAAATGCTCTGAAAAGCTGAAAGAACAAGGCACCTACCAGGGGGAACGCTAAGGAGATGAAAAAGAAAAATAAACAGGGACATGCAAAACAGAGATTTTGGCTGTACACATCACGCTGCCTGAAAGAGATCCCACTGTAACTCTTGTCTTGCCACAAGTTGCTTTGAGACTTACCATAATCAAGTTGTGCAGGCTTTCAGCTTAAAGCTGATTTTTAAAGAACAGGCATTTCTCTGCTCATTCCTTTTCTTTTTTCTCCTCCCACAGAGGTATTTTGTCTGGATTTAGGAGTTCTGAAATCACAAGACAAAAAGCCACCATGAGCGAAGGAAGGAGTGGGGAAGGCTCCTTTAATCACACAGGTGGTGGAGATTTGCACCTGAGCCAATTTCTCATTAATCTGCAGCAGCTCCTGCTAGAAATGCTCCACTTTGCTCTTAATCCTTTGGTAGTGCCAGCCCAGCTTGGTGCCCCCTCCCCTCTCCTCGCTGACCACTTCCCCCCAACACGCACACGCTGCTGCATTTTACATTTTGAAACAAACTCCTGGTGCTCAGGTATTGTGCAGATTACAGCCAGCAGGCTCTCCTGTTCTCCAGCCTCCTTTGATTTCCCAGCCACTAACTGCCTCTTCTATGTATCAGGAGATTAGGAAGAAAATGTGTTATTTCCATGAAGGCTGACACAGCCTTTTTCTCCATTTATACCTACTGATTTTTTTTTTTTCCCCAGTGGTGCATTGTATGAGCTCCTGTCTGAGTTTCATTTTTTTTGACACCAGTGTAATAAAATCCTTTAGAAAAACGCATGTGCTGTTTAGCATACTATGGAGTGAGGATAGGCCAGGTGTGGATCATTTTATATTGCAGGGAAATGAGGCCTCTTTTCTGCATAATTATCAAATCTGCTTCTACAGAGAGCTTTTCCCTACTGCTAGGCTACAGCCCTCGCCTACCTTGTGCCACTTGGTAAATATTCAAAGGTTGCTACACCAGGGTTTCCCCTGGAAGGCAGAGTTCCTAGAAACACAGGACATGGTAGGGAAAACAGTCCTGTGTGAAGCTTGGCTCCCTAACAGAAGATGAGAGTTTCTCAATAGTCAAAGCTGGATATTGAGAAAAGGAAAAGCTTTGCTTCCAGCTCCAACATTACCTGAGGAATATCAGTTATCAAAGAGGGAGAATACACAATTTTAGCAGGAGTGAGAATATGTTTAAAGTGCTATACACTTATTATTTTTTTTTTTTTGACTTGGTGGGACATAGCAGATGTCAAAACCATTTGAAAGGTGAAGGATGCTAAGCAATGTTGCCATGCAGGCACAGTGCCTGTGTCAAATTCACCTCAGATGACATTTCTTTTTCATGAAGGCATTGAAGCTTTCACCTAAAAACCGCTTTTAAATGTTTTCCTTTCATTTTCTCCCCAATTAGCTTTTCCAGGAGAATTAAACTGGAGGTTAATCCATTTAACTTTAGCGTTGTCTACATGAGGTACTTGAGATAAATCAGTTCTAACTAATGAAGGGTTTAAATTCAGGGCAGAGGAGTTAAACTGCATGAGTTTAATTAAGAAGATTTTGTTTTGGATTGTCCACAACTTAGCAGAATTTGTTTCCACAGTGGACAATGCACAAGGGCATGTAGTGACAGGACAAGGGGGGGAGGGCTTAAAACTGACAGGCAGGAGGTTTAGATTGGATATTAGAAAAAACTTATTTACTCTGAGGGTGGTGAGGCACTGGCACAGGTGGGCCCAGAGAAACTGTGGCTGGATCAGGTTCAGTGGAGCTCTGAGCAGCCTGGGCTACTGGAAGAGATCTCTGCCCATGGCAGGGGATTGGAATTAGATGATCTTTAATGTCCTTTCCAACCCCCAAACCTTCTATGATCCTGTGTAGGCTGTGTGTGCAGGATACATCCAATTTGTCTGGATGTATTGGCTGTCAAACCCTCCCAAAACCTGCAATCCCCTGTTTGATCAGGACCAGCTCCCCATGACAGTGATACAAGGTGATTTTTGTCTTTTTTCCTTTATATATTCTCTGTATTCTTTACACATGTGGAGCTCTGTAGCCTATTATTGCATTTATAGCTGGTTTTCCCAGTACTTTTCCCTGCCCTGACAGGCAGAAAGACAAAACACATTTCAAAGCCCCTATCCTATATCGGTTCTTTCTGGCAACCAAGGCCAAAACCAGCTCTCAACAAGTTTCATCAACAAGTTCAGTTTCCATCCAAGAGAGGAAGATTCAGAGAGGGGGAAATTACCTCACCTCTTATGTCTCTAATTGGTGATTTTTGTCAAATATGCTAATTTGCTAAACTTATAAAGACTGTTTAAAACCCCTAGTCCTCTGTGGAAAGAACACTGACCACTAGGATATTTTTATTTGGAAAGCACCACCTTCTCCTTCAGCAGATAAAAATACAGCTCCACCAAATAATTTAGAGTTGTAATAGGAAATAATAAAAATGCCAACAACTGTTCACGCACAACCTCCTCAAAAGAACCTTTGTGCTTTTAAAAATCGACAATCTGAAAATGAAATGGGAGGTTAATGTGATCCCCTTGGTGCAGCTGAGGCTGCTACAGATGGAAGTGCTTTGTGTCAGGTTTCTGTGCTGGCACAAGCATATGGGATCAGACACAGAGGAGGAGTTCTGAACTTTTCTGCAGACAGATGAATGAATTCAAGCTGAAGTGGCAGCACAGATCTTGCACTAGCCAGTCCAAAAATAGTAAAGAAATCCCTTTTCTACATTTAGCACTGTGTGGATGGGTTTCTGTGTTCATTGATGAGCTCCTAGGCCAGCTCAAATTTTACAAGAGCTATAGCTAATTATTTCTACAGTCAAAAGAGTGCAGGATTTTTGAATATTAGCACGATATTATCTCCCTTTTTGCTTTCACTGCATTTAGCATGGCTGGCTCCACTAAATAACACATAAATCTTAACTGTCTGTTATAGAAAGATTATTTTGAAAAAGGATTTCTTGCCAGACTATTATCCATTTTGTACCACTCTTTCTTCCCTTGTTCTGACTTTTTTATTCTTCTATGAGAAAGAAAGATTTTTCCTCTCCTTTTTCTTCCGTTTAGTCCCGATCTAATTCTCGTGGCTGATATATAAGAGAACTGATACAATGTAGTTTTTCATTTTGGCAGCTTTTTTTAAACAAATTCCATAGCATGATCCGACCGGTGACAAATGACCCAGCACTTCCACTTGGAATACTAACACTGAATTAACTGGCTTCCTGGGGCCTGATGGAGATGCAGCAAGAATTAAAAAAATTACTGCACAGGAGCAGTGGTGACTGATGTAGGGCCTGCACACTGAGCTTTTGACCTCCACCGTTTCTACAGTAACTGTGCAATGCATTGTGCTTTCTATTCTCAGGCTCGCCTTGGAAGCCAATTAAATTAAAAGGCTATTCATTTCATTCTATTTGTCTCCAGGATGCTCACACAGAAATGCAAACGATTCCTGTTCAGAGTTCCCTGCATCAGAGAAACTGATATTGTACTGCTAATTTGTGATAACACTATAAACCAACATGCAATCTGCCCCGATTTAAGAGACGTGCATAGGATGTACACTGAAATTACAAAACACTGATTAGGGAGATCATGAAATTAAATCTTCTGAAGGGCACATCTTTCAAACCCTCAAGGCAGCTCTTTTTCTTGGTTTAATCAGATAGTTAATCATTACAACTCGGGCTTTCCAAGTGCTAGTTTCATCAATACTAGGAAGCATGGGTTTGTAATATTGAACATCCAGTCTCAGGAAAGCTTGGTGAAAACCAAAGCTGTAGAAGGTGATTGGCAAGCACTTTGCTGCTCTAAAAAAAGCAATGGAGGAAATGAGAGGATGTTTCCTAGTAAAACCAAAGGATCATTTGAGGACTGTCCACCAATTTGAACAACAGAGAAATATAGTCTCAAATATGCTGTTCTCTTAAGGGCCAGGGAGAAATTAACATTTTGGTTAAATCACAGAGAACAAATTGACACAAAACATTATTATCCTGTGTTTTATTCTAAATTAAGCTTGTGGTACAGTTCCCCATGCCACTTGGAGCAAGTGTAATTTCAGATTTGGAGGAATGACCTTCACATTGAAGCGAAGCAGGAGGACTTCAACACCATCCTGCAGGATACGAAATTACATCCTGCAACCTGCCATTTGTAGATCATTTTTGCAGGCTAGCAACCACAAATTGGAAGGTGCCTATCATCAATGGCAGCTCAAATGTTAGGGCTTTTCTAATGGTCATGTTACTGAAGGTTTGTTGATGGAGAAGATGTGGGTTTGTAACAGAGGCAGCAGCCTCCGCTGCACTTTGTCTGGACATGGCTGGCAGGGTGTAATAAGCTAAACAAGGCTGAAATGACAAAAATGTCTCCAGGCTCATGAAAAGCTGGAACACTATTTCTGGGAAAACCTGGCAGTTTAGACAAAACTGTCAAACACTTAACTACCTTTGTCAGAGAGATGAAAGCAGTCTGGCTCAGAATCCCTCACCTGCAGTGCTAAAACCCATGGACTTTCCACCAGGGGGGAGCTCAAAGACACTTCTCTGGGTTGAGAAAATGAACTTGCTTCCCCCTGCTATGATTAAATTAGTTTTGTTTTCTTCCCTCCCTGACCCTCAATGAAATTTCAATCAGTTACTGAAGTATGAAGAGACACAAAAATTTAAAGAGAGAAACTAATAAGTGAGAACAGACTTCTTAATATGGCTTGGAAAAGGAAACAAATATGAAAACTTTAAGATGGTCACTTCAGGCTGTCTAGTCATCCACTGCTATGTTGACTAGAAGGAACCCAATAAAATGAAGGGGGAATGATTTAGAGGTGATTGGAAGAGACACCCTTTTCAGCCCCAGGATTTTATGCCACAAACAGGTCAGCAGTTTGGCTGGCTTCCAAAAAGAGTGTGATATGTGTGGTGTACTGCAAACCAGAGCACCCGGAGGGGCTCACACATATTTGTATTCAACAGCACAGGGGAACAGCAGAAAGCAAGAGCTGCAAAATAAGGACCAGGAACTCTGGGCTGACACATTTTTTCTATAAATTGCCCTGCTGTGATCCATCTCCTGACCTTTCTGGAATGGGCCTGGCTAAAAGAGAAGATGCTACATTATAAAATCCTTATGTCTATGGGATATGGAGCTTCAGGTCTTTCTGTGTCCTTTGCTGCCTCATTTCCTTGCTTTGAGATAGTTTTCCTTGTTACTGTAGTTCCTCTGCAAAACATTAACCTTGAATTTGATGCCACAGTGATGGGGCAAAACTTCTTCTGCCTGCCTCAGTTTTGCAGCTTAGATGATGAGGTCTCCAAGAAAACTCTGTCTTTGATAATTTGTTTTTGTTTGGTTTTCTAAGTATAGCAACGGTTTCTAACAAAAACTACCACAGCTTCTCAAAGCTTTTTATTCCTGTGACAATTTTCAAACTAAGGTTTTTACTGAATGGGATTCTGTTTGAAAAGACAGGACAGAAAGTGTCCAACATGGATTTCTGAAAATGAAAAGATCTGTTTTAAAGGACTAGATTTTCTTTTTTAAAAGAAAGGTAATTTTGGTGTTTAGAAAAACCTGGAGGGAGAAACTGTAAATGGAACTCAAAGCTGCAATTGTGACCAAAGACTCAGCTACTTTTGAAGGAGAACTTGATTTTATAGAAGAAACAACATTTAATTACAATAACTAATATTAAAAAGAAGTGTAATGGAAAGGAAAGAAAACTTGTTTCATGTAAGGACTTACCAATGCATTCTGGACAAGATCTGATGAAGACAGATTACCTTGGTTTTTTGTTTGTTTGAGGTGTTCTTCACAATCATTTCAGGCATGGTGTCCTCTCCACAGGTATGAGAAGACCTGAGAGCTGGAAGTTTCTTCCTGTGAAAGTAACAGAGAAAATACACTTTTAAAAATGGAAATCTGTTCATCCTGATGACTACGAATGGTTAACAGATATTGCATCATGCACACACTCTATTATGTTATTCTGCTTTTGTGCTTTTGTTAGGGCAGAAAATGGAGTACTTCTTTGATGTTACTGCTGAAAAGAAACTGAAAAAAACTCCCTAAAAATAGCTTTGATTTTCTGTGTAAACTTGAGCATTTTTTAAATGACGTTTTTTCCATAAATGAAACACATTAGCAAGGAAGAAAAAAAAAAAACTGGTGAAGGATAAATCAATGTGAGTTTTTAATGGCACACTCCTGTTACTCACTGAAACATGGCACCTCGTTTTGGGCATACATGCAACATGCACAAGATGGTGCTAATAGGGAACCCCTACTTCTCACTAAGAGTAAATTCAGGCAGGCTGTGCTGTCCAAAGGCCCATCCTTGGTGACACAGAAGTAGGACATCTCTAAAAATAAACCTTTCTTAAGGAAGATGAAAAAAAAAAAGTCTGAGTCACATCATCAATAAGGGATTACTAAAGAAAAAAATCCTCTGAGACTTAAAAATCAGTTTATAACTAGACCCCTCTTAGTTAAAGGTGATGTTTTCCAAGGAAAGCTATGGAGGTAAAGGAGTATCACTATAGAAGGGATGATTTTATTAGTTCATTTGTCTAATTAGGTTTAGACCATAAGGACCAGCCACGTTCTGGCTTGAAAGGTCAAATGTGAAGCTTATGAGTAATTAGATTTGAGAAACTAGGCCAAAAGAAGTTCCAAAATTAGAGTGTTTTGATCAAAACTTTAAACTATCTCTCAAGCAAAGTGAAGTTAATTAAATAAAATGTTTCATGACTGATTAAAGTGTACATTTGACCATCAGTTTCATCTCACATTCCGCTACCCACCAGCTGGAAAGCTGAAGAGACTTTTTATAACTTCATTAGAGCTACCTTGTGGAACAATTTAATCGTGTAAAACCTTATAATGCAGATGCACAAGTACAACAATACCAGCTGCTGGGCTCTCCCCCTCTCCCTGTGCCACACACGCTCCCCCTCTGCCTGGGGACTGCCTTCCAAAGAGGCTCAGCTGCAAGAGCAAGGGGCTTTCTCCTGCCTGACATCCAAAAGGCAGAGTTCCTGAAGGAGCAGGACACACAGGGATTCCCAGGCCCAGATCCCACTCAGCAAAGTGCTCATCTGAATGTTTTGGTAGGGTGGGGAGTAGGTAAGTTAATACTAACAGGACAAATACCCACCTATCTAACTGCTTGAAATTATTCTTTTGATTCTCTTTCTTAAAGAACTACAAGGCTCTGGCACAGCACTTCCATCTCTAGCCAAAGAGAGGAAAAAGCCTTGGCCAAATCAAGCATTTGGATTTTCTGGATGAAAAGGCTTAGTGTCATCATTGTGATTGGCTCCACAGCGAAGCAGTGGAAGAAGAATGAGAAGCATTGCAGACAAGTGAGGTGACACAGCTCATCAACATGTAGCACTTCATGCCATGCAGCACACTTGCAAGTGCATCACATTTCAATGTTACCATTTATCTTTATAATATTTATTTATTTTTTTTGCTGGACTGTATTTAATATTTTTTCTTTGACCTCCAGCTCCTCTGTCGGAGGTGGTACAGAGAATATGCAGCAAGAGCAGAGGCAGAGAGAAGTATCAATTTATATCTCAGTCTTTGTGACTAATCACTGAGCAGCATCTCTTCAGAACTAACAATCCCAGAAAAGTTCCCATATGTTCAAGGCTGACTCTGTGCACGTTTGTTAATCAGCTTCAAATTATAATCAGGATATTAGAACGCAACTTTGCAAAGCAAGTGGCTGAGAAGATCAGCAAATACTCACCAGTGAGAAGAAAACAGAGTTTTGGAGGGGAGAATCTGACTCCCAGCAGCTTCTGGCTGATCAGTCAGGGAATCAAGAGCCTGGGAAGTGACAGAGCCCTTGCAGAGGGACCAGACTGATGGGATCTCTCCCTCGTGACTGGGAACAGGAGCAGCCAGGCTGTGTCTCTCCTGTTTTCCTCCAAAAACAACCCTAAAACAATTACCTGCAATGCAGAATGGACTTTGTCCAGACAAAGTCCCCTCACCATGACTGGTGAAAGGAATGTATTTTTTTCCTCTGTGAGTAGGCTCACGGAGCAGCAGGGTGCTGAGTGATTCAGCTTTTCTGCACAGCAGCAGCAGCAGCAGCAGCAGAGTGTGCTCCAGCCCTGCCAGGCAGACAGGGTCAGCCACAGGAGTCGTGCAGCAGCCCCACCAGTGCAGCCCCTGGTGCCATGGGCAGGCAGGGACACAGGTGGAGGGCAGGCACTCCTGCAGCAGCCTCTCCCACCTGTGCATTCCCAACAGAGTCAATGCTGATGCTTTAAACCTCTCATTTCCTCTTGCTTTCAGCTTGGTCCCCTGGTTTTGGTGCTTCATGGAGGGCTCTGCACAGGGCAAAGCAGGTGGAGAAGTAGCTAACAAGATCCTCATTAAGGCCAGATTTTGATAGAGGTGACGAGCCAAATCACTCCCAAACTTCTGCTTCTCAGCATTCAGCTTTAAGGATCACTTGATTTACAGCCAGAAAAACTACCTGCAGTGATATCACTGGGAAACTAGAGCCTCCAGTCATATTTAGTTTCCATTTCAGCTACTCTGCATTGGATATTCCCCTTGGAAATTCAAAGGGCAACTACACTGTCTGTTACATGTGTTATATAAAGACAATCAGAACGAGGTATTTGGGCACTGACCTGCTTGATTTTATTTTCAGCATCTTCTCCTTCCCACCCCCCCCACATACATTTGTGAAGCATGAAATAAATTCACCCCTCCTGACTCAGTTCTATTCTTTTCCAATGACAGAACACTTGAGGTTGGTAAGTGAACTGTGCTGGGCTGGGTCATGTTTTCAAATGAAGGAAAAAAAAAAGCCCCACAACCCTGAAGCAGATTGATGTAATTTTGGTTTCATAGCTGACAATCATTTTTCATCATTGTTTCAAGCATGAAGGATTTAGCAATGGCTGCATAAAACTTCAGTGGCACAAACCTTTGATGTTCTGTCAAGCAACCCTGTCAGACTGCAGTCACAAATTACTCCCTGGCAATCCTAGGTGAGGATTATGAAGATTATTACAAAAAGATGATGTTTTAAAGGGTTATTAGAAGTACCTTTGGGTTTCAGCAACGCGCAAACACACAATTGTGTCCTTCACAAAAATCCTGTTTTTCTTATTTTAACGTGCTGCTTTTTCCTCTCTCAACTGATCTCTTTGGTTGGGCATTTTCACCTCAGATTCCAAGCAATCAAGCTGTCAGGAGCATCGCCTCCTAAGAGAAAGCACTGAAACAAACAAAAAACCCCACATTAGCAATCTGCTTGTGAGCTGCAAACACATGCAGGGAAGCTGAGCACAGCACATGTCTCTCTGAAAGGACAGTTGTGCTGCTTGGAGTGTGACTCTGCAGGATAAAACTACGTGGCAATACAGAATTAGAATATAAAGTTCTATTTTATTTGAAACTACTGCCTTCACAAATGATGTGCTATTTCCCTAGTCAGGAATTTGGGACAATTTTTTTGGCCCTGGCTTGAGTTCCTTTGGGCTGTTCTGAGTTTTCTTGTGGATCCCCACTGAAATTGAACAGGTCAAAATGCAACTGTTCTGTCACCACAAGAGTTGGTGCTTAAAAATCCACATCTTATCCATTAAAGTATTTCAACTAAAAAATGTGGACTCTTAGTTGGTTTTTTGTTTTGTTTTTTTTTCTTGAGTTGCAGTTTTACTTCATCAACAGCATCTGCAGTTTACTGTATTCTGTATCTTGTTGTGACACTGGATTCTGTAGGCCCTTGGAGCATTCTCCCAGCTGCTGCTGCAGTTTTGGGGATGCAGCTCTGTAATTGATCAAGTCATTGATCTGCCCACAGTTATACAAGGGGTGGAGGTTAAATATCAGCATTTACCTCAGAGCCTCAGAAATTAATACCATGGATCATTACTGAGCTGTTTGAATTTCAGAATGATGCTTAGGCTCTATGGCAAATATTTCACAGGAAACTGCCCTATTTCAGTAATCTCTAATGCACTGTGGAAAGAGCACAGCAGTTTAATGAGGGGATGAGAAGGAAGAAGGGGAGTAACTAGTAATTAACTAGTAATAAGTCAAAGAAATAGACTTAGTTGTTTGTTTGAGATTTGCAGATGAGTGTTTCCTAACTACAATCATGTAGAGACAGATGGGTGCTGAGATCCTCAGGACTGGATAATTCACTCCAAATGCCTCAGATTTCGTGGTTTACAAAATTTAAAGTGACTTCTTCAAAGACTAGGCAGTGATGAAAGTTCAAATCAAACAAACTTTCCTTTACACCTTAAGAATTCAATGAGCCTATACAAGCACCATTTAAGTGATTAGTTTTTGGTGTGCTAGTACTCTCACTTATTTCTCAGTCAAGTACCTCAATGAACTCCCTGGGTTACAGCTACAACTCAAAAATTATTCACTGAAAAGAGCTGCTGAATAACATTTGACACTCACAGGAATCCATTTGTAAATAATCCTCTATCAGCAAAATTCATTGACTAAATTATATGTGGTTAATTATTCACCCATCTCTCACCACACAGCGTTCCCCCCTCCTCTTTGACAAATTCCTAAAATGATCAAAATGCTGATCACAGCCCAACAGTTTATGCAGCCTCTTGCCTCTGTCTCCTTTCCAGTTCCTTGCCTCCAGTCCTCTAGTAAGCAAACCCTTCTGGTTCAGCAATTTGGCAAACCAGGGAAATTTTGACTTGCAATTATATAACTGCTGCAAGGCACTCCGGTCAGCAGGAATGCCAGCCAGGGGACTCGCAGCTGTAAAAATGCAGAAGCAGCCGTCCTTCCCTACCACAGGACTTCTATTGGAAACTCAGCCCTCAGTTCTGAATGCTTTGATTTATTGGGGGGAGAGGCAATGTGAAAACACTGTCAGGCTTCTGCAGCCACTGAGGTATGAGACTGATCCATCCCCGTACATCACGCTCAGGAAAAGTGCAGGAACACGGAAGGCAATAAATTAGAAGACCCTGGAGATGTGGGGTGGAGGAGGAATCAGAAGGATAAACTTAGCTTGTGATTAGCTTCAAATCCTGAGAAACATTAAACAAATTCTGTCTCCTTCATGAATTACACCTTGCCTTTCCCAATTGTTCCTTTATTTGTAATTCTCTAGCACAAGTGCAGATCCACACTCCCCCTGCTCCTGGCTTGCAGCCACTTGGGCCAGCAGGATCTGCCTGCTTTGTTGTGCTCCATTTCCCACATATCTTCTTTAGAAACCCCTTATTAAGATCTTGGACCTGGAGTATTTTTAATTCTGCTGAGAAATCCTCACTTAGGGAAGACGCTGCTTTGGCTGACAAGGCCTTCCACCCATCTGTGGCCCCAGATCGTGCTCTTTCCTTCTCTTCTCTTCCCATTATCCCACTTTTTATGGGATCTCTTTTAGACTACAGAAATACACTCTCTTTTCCCACCCTGTCTGCACAGTGCCTTGTTATACTATTTATATAACAGCTCTATAACTATTAAAGGGTAAAACTGCAGCTACAAAATTCATACTGCACCAATTTCTAAACCTGAGTTAGCTTTCCCTTTCTTGTGACAATTTGTATTAAATTCCACGTTCCAAGGCCTTGCTGACCATCCTCAGCCCTGAACTAGACCCGTTTCTTGCTTCACATCTGATTCCTGGAGCATGAGGTTCTGTGTGACATTGTGCATCCTACCCTAATCCTGTTTGCAGGTGCTCCTCCTCTGCAATGACTGATCACAATTAGCCTGGAAAGGTCTTCCTTCTGCTCCTGTCCTGCGCAGGAGCATGGAACCCCTGAAATTCCCTGGAAAAGTATCACCATTCATACCTTTGGCTCCTCAGACAAAAGGCACCTTTCCAGCAGAGTACATTGGACTAGACTTTCTTACAGAGTTGTCCCTTCAAGGCATTTCCTGGGGCTTTTTCCCAGAGCACTTCCTGGGTTGATGAGGGAAGAGATGACAGGAGAGCCTGCAGTTTTGGGAGGGGCTATTGGCTGCAGCCCTGAACTAGTCATTTTGCAGCTCACCCTCTGTAAGGCAGCTCTGTTCCATGGTGGTAAACAGGCTTATTTATTCTTCTCACATCTCATTACTAATGCTTTCGATGTATCCTAAGTAGACAAGCAACCAGCTTCTGTCCTTGGATACCAGCCCAGTTCTCCTTGACTTCACTAGCACGCACAGACTGAGGAAAGAATTCAGCTCAGTGTAGCATTTACACTGCATGCTGGTTATTAAAAGAGCCACCAGCTCCTGTTTCATAAGCAAAGATATAAATTCCAGGCCATTACATAAAATTACTTTACAGAGCATTTACTTAGCTACAGGTACAACTTGCAGACCTCTGCTCACCCTTTGGAGGAGGAGCAGGGACAGCCCCACTCCTCTCTCCTGCAGAGGTGCTGGTACAAACCAGGAGAAACACTGCACATCCCACTCACTGCCTCAGCCCCAGTGGGAACCCGAGATGAATTCTGTGGGCAGCAGGGGAGATTGTTCAGCCTGGAGAAGAGAAGGCTCAGGGGTGACCTAACTGTGGCCTTCTGGTACCTGTAGGGAGCCTGCAGGATGGAGATGGATTATTCACTAGAGCATGGAGTGACAGGACAAGGGGGAATGGCTTCAAACCAATGAAAAGTAGGTTTAGATTAGATATTAGGAGGAAATTCTTCCCTGTTACAGTGGTGAGGCCCTGGCACAGGTTGCCCAGAGAAGCTGTGGCTGCCCCATCCCTGGAAGTGTTCAAGGCCAGGCTGGATGGAGCTCTGAGCAACCTGGGGTAGGGGAAAGTGTCCCTACCCACCTTTGGGGGATTGGAACTGGATGATCCCTTCCAGCCCAAAGCATTCTGTGGTTCTGTGATTCTGTGGCATATCAGGAAAGCCAATCTGAGATCTTGCAGCTGACCCAACTAACACAAAAGGGTGAGATGGGGCCTTCTTGTGAGTAAAACTGTGCTGCAGAGCAGAGCAATTTCCAGGCCCCTCTCAGGTGTCCTGTGAGTCATTTCTTCATCTGTGAAACAGGGCTAATACTTCCCTCACACACAGGTGATAGGGAGATGAAAGATGCTCAAAGATTAAGTATAGTCCATAAAAACATGACAGGCTTGATTCAGTATAAGCTGGCAACCACTGTAAGCAATTCAAAGGCAATTCCATTCACAGATTTTAGTGCTGTTTTGGAATGTTAATGTCTACTTTGCTACTGCAGTTTGCTTTGCAAAGCCACAGCTGCTGAGTAGAAGTCATTAGGGGAAGCGGGGAGAAGCCAGAGTTTTTGTAAGAGTGATCAGGAGCAAATTAATTCATGTTTGCTATGAATTTTGCATCAGTAGATTTCAGTGCCAATCCAGTTGTAGTAAACAGTTAATATTCCCCCACTGGCTATTGTTTTGAGCTGTCTTCAGATGCATACTGACCTCCCTAAATAGCTGTTAACATCACAGGGATTTTCTTTGCAGCTGATAACCCAAGGCAAGAACCTTCAGGCTAAAAGCTGACACAGGAGCTCAGGTGTAGCAGCTCACTGGAGCTGTGCCGATGGATAGTTGAAGCTCTGATTTGTAATTAAAGAGCAAAAAACCTGACTTCTGAAAAACAGTTGTGGGATGAAGGTGGAGTCTGCTATGAACTCGATGGCCCTGGAGTTTCAGACAGCAGCTTTTAATTTTTTTCTGTGCAGGGAAGCAGCCTGTCAGAGGTGTGTGCTTCCATCACATAACCAGTCACAACCCATTGCCCACACAGCTGTATCAACAAGCAGAGCACAATATTCCAGGCTGAATTTAAAAGAAATTAATTCTAGCTAATTTACCTAATCCAGTCACAGCACGGCTCCAGAGACAATTTCATGAGGACAGTCAAAGGAGCAGAAGTGTGTGAACATCCCTAAAACTGAGGATTGTCTGGGGAAACAAACCTCCTTCTGATGGCTTTCCTAGCAACTAGAAATCACAGAAATCACTCTCACCTGATACCACCAAAAAGCAAATGATGAGAGCCCTTAGACTAGAAGCCAGTTGTGAAGAAAAAAAAGAATTAAAGGAAAATAGAGGCTCTCCTGACACTCACTGTACAGGGCTCTGTGTCCATTGGTAATTGCCAATAGAAAATATCTTCCAGAAATTCCTTGTGCCACTTCCACTGCCCCTCATACTGCTGGTTGGTGGTGTGCTGCAAACCTCTTCCTGCCAGAGCTCTAAACAATGCACACAGCTGACTCCAACTTAGATTTGACACTTTTCCTCAAGATTAAATGGGTTACTTGCAGAGACAGACAACTGGGTAACTTCAAAGCTCCAGCCTTAGCTAACAAGAAACAAATTGCTTCCCCAGTGACTCCTCCCGAGGGAGTAATGCAGGATAAACCTGTGATATTTGCATTAATTCATCTTTAAGCATAAAGCAGAATAGATTCTGTTTCTTTAATAAGTTTTCACATTATTTAAATGGACTTGTTTTAAAAGCCAATAACATGTTTGCTTTGGGAATATTTTGCATTTATATTTACATTTTGGCTGACGGCTCATTATATGGGAAGAGCTGTTGGAACTAAAGCAGTTAAAGATTATAAAGATTCTAGAAAGGATTTACATCTGAGGCCCCTTTGATTGTGATTTCCAGCAAAGTTACTTTTCCCCATTTAGTGGCATTTGAGGATATTGGGAATCCTTTGGTGACAGAGCGATCCTTGGCTCCTGAGGAGAGAGGGGCTTTGCTGCACCTCTCCTGATTCCTGCTGCCTTTGGACCAGGTTTGATCTGCAGGTACAGATCCCACTGCTGAGGGGTGGGATTTCATTTTTACAAAATTATTTAGTTTTTTTCATTTTTACATTTTCCCCCCCTCTTTTTGCAGCGGGGGAAATAAGGATATGGAAGAGTGAAGGGAACACTTCAGAAGAGTGATTCTTTTCTTGTTTGCTCATAACGAACACAGATTACAAGGTGCTCACTCATTCTGTCCTCTCCAGTTATGTCAAAGTGCTTTGAGACCATTGTTGGGGTATTCCTGCCATACCAAGTCTTGCTTTAGGATTCGTTATCCAGCTACCTACTCTTCCCTCTGCAGCAGAGCAGGTGTAGAAGGGACCACATATCACCCCAGTCACTGTCAGCATTTTAGTTTAACCTGACAGCAAAAGTGGACTTCAGTAAAATGCTGTTGGTGGAAGGACCTGAGGCACGACTCAGTTCTGGATGGGAGAGCGGATGCACGCGCAAATCTGTGAGGCCGTGTAAGCTCAGATCTCCATCAAAGTCTAGGAAAACCTTTCTGGAGCTCAGCTCCTCTTGAGCCCAAAGAGCTCCCAGGCACTCACAGCGTTGCTGTCCTGAGAGAACAGAGCTGCTGTGCTGTTGTCACTGCTGACCCAGCCCGCAGCAGCAGCAGCGCGCGGTGTCACACCCATCAGAGGTGACACCCCACTGCCCGAGCGGCTGCATCTCTCCCAGACTTTGTTTTAGCCTCTTATTAGCTGCAAGAAATTAGCTGTCACACAGAAATCACACTGCTCACAATCCATGGGAATGGTATTTGTGCAAAGATTCTCTTAAGGCAGATGTGAGGTTCTGTGTTTTTAATAAAGTTCACAACTGAATATTATGAAGTGGTGGGGGAAACCAATACTTCGGTCACTGGGTAAATACTTTTGAGTTCTTTACTGGCTTTAAGATTTACTGCTTAGCCACTCCAATTCCTATCATGTACAAACGTTTCCTATATTAACAGGAGAAGAGTGATTTGTGGGCAGCAAATGGGAAACAGGACATCAATTTAATGGGGCCATTTGGGGTTAGCATAAAATGACAGAACAGCAGGAAGCAGTTAAAAGCTTCCCTCCCAGCAATCAAAGCCCTGCAATTTTGAGTCTTTTTCTCCAATCAAGTAGTGTATTGATGAGAAACCAGTTCGAATAATGACCTTTGAAAGACCTCATTCTGGCCTTCTGGTGTAAGTCATTTCTCTAACTATGGTGTCCTAAGAGGAGCTCAGAAAATTCATGTCATCTACACAATCACTCGAGATGCATGAGAAATGGCAGAAAGCAAGGGCAAGAGATTTCTATTCCCTTAACTTGGCTGAGTTTTGGTTTTTTTTTTTTTTCCTTTGAAGGCTCCTGATCTCAGCCTCAGTTGCTGGTATTGCTTTTCCTGTGTGCTGCTTCCTCTCCTGTCTGCCCCAGCTCATCGAAATTATGGATGGACCATCCTTACTAATTCATCAGTCCTCCTGTGACTCAATGCATGAGTTCCTTCCTGTGCTGCACATTTTTAAATCTCATTCTGTAAGGCTGCTCCTAGATCAAGTCACATTCACATTTCATTCCAAGCTTTATTTTCAATTAATATCACTTTTTTGGCAGAGCTGAAAAGAAACTCTCATTTTTCTTTCAAAGGCAGACATGGAGCGTGGAATGCCAGATTTCCTAGATGGGAAATGGTAGCTCCAAATCCTGCTAAAGTAAGGAGATGTATTTTATTTCACAAAAATACACCTTCAACTGATGAGAACAAACCTGCCAGCACAGACCATGCTACTGGAAAATCAGGACAACACATGTATTCCAGCTGATATTCCTGCCCATTCCACAACCTGCTTTTAGAGCTCCAGTTTTCAGTTGTGAGCCTCTGCCTTTTCCCAGGGCTCCAGAGCCAGTGATACCCATGATCACCATGACTGCTCTGCTGGGGAGTTCTGTCTGTAAAATGGGATGAAAAATGACTGCCATGAGCTGGTAGGAACCCCAACTTCTAAATATCTCATGTTGCACTCCAGTGGTTTTTAAAGCTCCTAATACCCGCTGAGAAATGCCGTGAAATGCTGACCTGGTATGAACTCCCTCTGTCAGTTCACATTTGTCCAAACCCTCGGCAGGCGTTCTGCCAGATCTGGGATCATCCATCCCCCTGCAGCTGGCAGAAGGGTGACACAGAAATCACAGCGCTCGCAGAGGCCATGCTGTGTGCCCCAGCTAATCCACCGCAAAGGCAGCATGGTGAGCTCACACCCAGCTCACACCAAGTCAGGACAAGTGTTTGATAAGGGAACACAGCACCCTGCCACTGCCATCCTGGAAACACAGTGAGCTGCAGGGAAAGCTTCCTCTCCCAGCTGTGTCTCGGGAATCCTGCCCTTTGCCATCTTATTGCGAGCCAACAAAGATCCTGTGTAGAGGGGTGAAGGAGAGTGATCAGCAGGACAATTACAGACTGTACTTGGAAATTATTTTCCTAAGCAGGGTCAACCAACCTACTCATCCCCAGGCACTGTGGAGGAAAAACCTCTAATGTGGCACATATTGTAAAGGAACTACCGAGTGAAGCATGGAGGACAAAGGCAAAAACACGCATGGACTGTATTCCAAGGCAGCAAAACAAATTCTGCCTTTGTAGGGTCTAGGGAAGTCTTGAGCATAATCAACTTTTGAAAATCATTTAAATAGTTGTCATGACTCTATTCTTACCTTCTGTCTGTTGATTTGGCTCCCACGACGCCTGAATAGCTCTCCTGAAGCCAGTTTACTGTCTATTGTCTGCGCCTGATGAGAGCTGTTATTTCTGATTAGATACTTTCCCTCTGTATTCCAGATCTCTGCCCTTCATTTCTCTCCCTCAGCACATTTTTCCCTCAGCACTAGTGGTGTCTGATGTGAGTACCACTCCTAGCACGCCCTGGTGGGTAAGAACAAAAGCAAGAACATGTCACACCTCAGCCTAAGGCTGCAGCCAAGGGACCATAATCTCACATCTGGAAGTGCCTTCAAGCTGTGCTATTCCCATGCTCTGGAAGTTCTACAGGATTTAGTATTTCTGAGCTAAATACATTTCCATCATTCTTTTATTCATAAAATGCCCCACTGCAAAAACAAGCCAGACATGCCAGGCTCCAGCTCCCTATGAATTTATTTTATAGCATCACAATTTCCTACAAACAGAGCATTAAAGAAAGAGATGGTTCCATGTATGTTTTTAAGGTAGATGCAAGCTCTGTCTTCCAGCACCTCCCCTGAGCCCACTGGGACTATTGACTCTGGAAAAGCAGAGGCATAAATTAGTCTTTGCAGAATCACAACTCTTATACCCTATCAAAAAAGCAAATTAATGCTCATTTTCCCTTCTAAGCACAACCAGCAACTGGCTGGAGAAAACTGAAATACATCTGTACCCACACAAGAATTATCCTGCCTCTCATGCCACGCTAGGCCAGCATTCAGCACATCCAGGGCAGCTTGCGAGCAGCGCACCAAAACACTGGGGTGTCCCACCCTCCCTCAGCCAGTCTTCTCCCACCAGGTGTTTCCAGCACCCCCAGTCTCAGCAAAACGGGAATCTCTGGGTTCTGGGCACATGGAAGCCTCTGGCACAGAGGAGGAATGTGAAGCTCGGGGGAGAAAAGAGCTGGAGAATCTCCCAGAACAACAAGAAAACCAAATGGGATTCTCAGCTGTGAAAATCACAATCACATGCCATTCAGCAGCCCAACCACAACCCTCCATCACCGAGGGTGTTGTGATACAGGATCCCAGCTCTCTGGCTCACAAAATCACCTTGCTCAGCACAGCCCCCCTCCACCACTGCCTTCACTCGGGGGGTCCCCAGGGCACTTCATCCCTCCGCTCCCTCGCAGCTGCTGGGGTTTGACACCACGCTCAGCACGTGGCTGCTCCCTGAGAGCCAACACAAGGTGTTTTGCCCTCAGGGAAGTAGAAACCCTTCCTCTCTGCACAGCCACAGCAGCTCCCCTTGGATTCCTCTCCATGCAAGCCCCTGGCTGCTGTCAGGCTAAAACCAGCCACGGCTGTTTTTGAAACACCGGCGCTCCCCAAGCAGCACTTAACATCCCTGTGAAGCTTTAAAATGAGATCTAGAAAATTGCACTCGCTACTATCTGTTGAAGTGTAAACCCCATTGGACCAGGGTGAAGGATTCCTGAAGGCCAACTATGTTATCTTTGTCTATAGAAAACAATTAAAAAGCTGATTTTAAAATGCTACAATTAAAGGCTTAATATAAATGAATTTCTGATGCTATCAACAAGCGCACAGACTTCAAGAAGCTCTTTCAAAATACCAATGCCTTCAAGCAAAAAAGCTGGTTTTGTTTTTTCTTCATGGTGAAGGGACTATGGGCAATTTACACACACTTTCTAATCTTAAAAGTACTTTATCTGTGCTAAGCATCTTATGCGCTATGAATTCTATATACAGATTGTAAAAATATACATAAAGCCTTGTACAAATTTACTGTTCTGTCTATAGATTCATGGCTGAAGATAAAGCATTCTAGCAGAAAAGCTTGGGGGCAGGCAGACAAAATCTGATGAGCAGGAGTTCTGTAAAATTTAATAGAAACATTTCTACCTTTATTTTAGATAATCAGATTACAGTGGGATTTCAAAATTAATTTCCCTTTCTTTGGCAGTTTTATGTTGTGTTTTGAGAATAATCATACAAAATGAACACTACAAATGAAAATCCTGGGTTTATTGAGGTCACTAGGGCAACTCCTACTGATTTCAGTTGGGCCAGGGACTCATTTTATGAGGAAGTCTCGGGGAGAAAATAAATTCAGACTTCTAGAAACAGAGCAGCATGCCAAAAACCCTTTTCTTAATTTTATTTTGAACATGGCTACTCTGCCATCTGAGAAAGCAGCTCCTTCCATTGCCTTCAGGAAATCAGCAGGTACTCCTGCTGCCACTGATTCCCTGCAAGCATGGAAGGACAGGCTGGCTTTCAAATCCGCTGCTTTTTACCGTGGCCAAGTACTGCTGGGGGGTTCAGCTGCCCATCGTGTCTCACCCTGGGCCAGGATCTCAGCTTCCAACAAGTGCTGGGCTTGGGAGGTCCCAAAGGCTCTCCGAGCTTCCTTAAGCTTGTCCTGGGCTGTAGGACAGCTACTCTTACTAGGCCAGGAAATTCGAGGTTCCTACACTTGAGAGCTGAGTGTTCAGAGCCTGTTTTAGACAGGATCTTGCCCTGATGAGAGGCAGCAGCTGTGTGGCCCTGAGGAGTTTCCAGCTACGTGGGAGCAGGGAGCCCTCTCCACCAAGCAGGATATTACCTGCAAGACAAACAACTGAGTGCACCTCTTGGGGTCCAGCTCCTCCCAAGCCCAGAAGCACCCTAGCACTTTTTCCTTCCGCTTCAAACTTCTTTTTCTTTTGCTGGCACAAATACCCACGTGATTCTCTGCCAAACAATGTTTGTTGTATTGCAAACACGGTGCAATACACTGCTCTCCCTAAAATCAATTTCCAAAGCAAGTGTCCTATCACTCCTGTCACATATCTCAGGCAGGAGCAAAGGAGAATGTCCCTTTGCACGAGATAGACCATCCTTTATGCATCTTGTCCTGTTCTAGCCTGCTTACCAAAGCATCTGAGGCCGCCAGCAGCACCAATCTCCTCTGCTAGGAGGATCACCAATCCCAGAGCTAGGCTGCTGCTGCTAGTGTGGTCCTTGCTGCACCAAACCACGCTGATACCTTCCACACATTTATGAACTGGTGTCATTATTACAGTACAAGGCATAGGACAGTCCCTGCTTGAAGCCAGTTCCAAATGAGAAGTGCTGGGCACGTAAGAGAACTTGGATCGAGAATGGAGCAGTGTGGTGCCAAGTATTGAAGTAAGAATTCTAGAAAGACAACTTACCCAAAGTGGCAAATTTGATGCCTGTAAACATGCTTCAGTCAGAAGTTTGGATGAACTCTGAAGGTATTGATTTTTTTCTGGGGTAGACTTCCTCAAATTTCCGTATCTCTCTATCAGACTGTATTTTTTACCATTAGCCAGTAATATATGGAAGGTCTTGGAGATGGACATCATGAAAGTGAGGCTTCAGCTTCACTGACCTTAAAAGTCAGTGAAGTCATTTAAAATGAAGTCTCAAATCTCCTGGAAGAAAATTGTTAATACTCAGAATTCTGAATAATATTATATAATTAACTTTTCAGCAGAGAACAGCCTCTTGGCACTAACCATGTCCTTTCTGATACATCAGAGACTGAAAAGCATGGCCTTTCCTGTGCCAACTGTCTTTTAGAATAAACAAGAGACCCTCCCCCTTCATCTCCACATGCTTAATAATATTAATAGAACATGAAAATATTAATGCTAGTAGACAAGGTCTTTCATAAAGCACATAAATGAATTCATTCACTCTAGCTCATTAGCTTAATCGTCAACCTTTTTACAATGTAACTGATTAACATTTTCATTGTTCTTCCCTGTTTTTTCCTTAGACTTTTGCTTCTTTGGGGATCAAAAGATCTCTGAATGCATAAGCTCAACAAATATCCCTGCACAACTGTACAACAATAGGAACTGTTAGAAGAGATAACTAAGTAAGGGCTTTCACAGCTCATGCTTCAAAGATACTGCAGGAGACAACCGTTTAAGAATCATTTTTATTTTTATGTTTAACGTGATTATACACATTCATGAGTCCAACAAGATCTGCACTGTGACATTAAAGATACAGTACAATAACATTCAACATGAGGTACTTCATATATTTATATATATCTGTCCTTTATAAATAATGCTGTAAGCCTGCTAAGATCAAACACTGCTTCAGCACAAATGGGTGGTGGGACCTGAAGTGAGCTGAGTTTATCACAACAAAAAAAACCCCAAACAAATCCAAACCAGTTCAGTGCAATAGGTGTGTAGAAATTAAAATGTTTACTTAAATACTATTTTAGATATGCAGAAAGTATATTACATTATACTCTCTTATCACAGATTCCTCTCACCAGCAAATCAAAGATACAAGTAGCAAAGACAGCCCGGAACAGTTTAGACAGAATCTGCAAGGTGATCTCTATCGACATTACCTTTACATTCCAGGCTGATATGGCTGATGCTTGCAAAATGTCACTCAGTGTATTCAGGCTTGGGTGCTTCTGCTAAATCAACCAAATCCACATTCAGACACCTCCTGAAGTGCCCTGATGTCCCCAGGTGAGTGGCACTGGTCACCTTCTTATATCCCAGTACTTGTTAGCATCACCAAGTGCTCAGAAGCAAGTTGTGCTGCGAGCATCAAAAGGTGTTTTGGGTGCCTTTGTTTGTTTGATCAACCACACTGGAAACTGTTCCCTGCACCAGCTCCTAAAACCTGGAACAGACTCAGAGGAATTTAGCTAGAGGTTGCTTTCACCCTACTTCATCAAAAAGACTTCATAAAAGAATCAAATAAGAACAGTAATTAAATAACAGCTCATTTTCTACATATTACAGCTAGAGTATTCCGGTCTCTGAACTTCTCTTCCCGCCAGTGAACATAGCAGATACATCACCTTTATTTGCAGGTAAGTCAAAACAAATAATAAATTAAAAGTGAGAACCCAAGACTAGTTAAACCAATGCAGTATACTCTCTGACTTGTCCCACCAGCTGTGGCACATTTTTTTTACCAAACAAATCGGAATGCAGCTCACTACCACAAACAACCTGTCAATCTGCTCATCACTCGGAGTAATTACATCTGCATCAGCCACTTGCTGTATGAAAACTTAATCAGCTGATTAGCATCTTTCTCTGCTTTGAAATGTATCTAAATAAATGGAATTGCTCCTCAAATGTTGTCTAAAAGTAGATGACCGTTACCTCATCACAATCTCAGATTCCTTTTTATGATCTCTTCAGCAACTCTTTCTCCACTCCATACCATTTATACTCGTCTATTTTCAGCTGCAGATCTAAATATAAATAACAGGAGGTTTTTTTAAATCTCTCCCTGGGAGTTTTCCATGGAGCATTCTGTTTAGATTTCACGAGCAGTCTGGATTATGTACATCTGTTACAAAAAACAAAACATTTTTCTATGTATTTTGAGGATATTTACATTTGAGAAAGAGCGCTGCTTACACACACATGTATGTATGTATGTATACAAAACATTAAATGCTAAGATGGATGAAAGGCATAAATCCTGCAGGGTACTTTTTTACCTCCTTTTATTACCTAGAGAGAAGATCTGGGCTTTGGCCATGAAGTGTTTGATGACTACACTCCAGTTTTCCTTACTTCAGATGGTATTTTGGACACTGCGAAGATGTATTTTGGCACTTTCCAATGGCCGGGGGCCAGGATTCCAACCGCTGAGCAACACTTAGAGAAATAGTATTAAACTGGTAAGAAATCATATGAGAAAAACATTTTTACTACAGAACTGACAAGTGAATTTAGGGTTATGCTACATTAATGTGTTGATATACTGTAATATTAATCTCCAGCCAGTCTAAAGAATCATTTGGTCCTCTCATTTTGTTAAAAGGTAGGCAACAAACAGGACCCACTTTGGAGGTGAAGCAAAAATGAGATGCTTCACAATGGGCAGTGTAGCCTTTGAGGAACAACTGTCCCAGTGCAGTGGTGAAGGATTTTCTCATGTTTCAATAATACCTGTAGTTCTTATTTATATTGGTTTCCTTCCCTGATACAAGGAGTATCCCTCATACTTTTGCAAAAATGATATGGACATGCAACAGGAAGTTTGGGGGGAAAAAACTCAGGCAAGAAAAAGGTTCTGTACCACATAATCCTCTGATTGATGTATAGCCATAAGAAGTTGCAAGAGCTCCAACAATAACCCATTACAGGAGACTTCCTCCCCCTCACTGCTATCTGATGGTATATAACTAAGTGTAATATGACCACAGTTGGGAATCATCTGTCTGTCTAAATTTCAGCTGGTAATAAAAAGAAAAAAAATAATCTTGTATTACAGAAAAAAATCCAAGTCAAGATTGATACATTCTTTTGTTCCTCTAAAATCTGCCTCTACCATGTTTAGGAAAAAGAAAAAAACCCACCCAAAACAAACAAACAAAAATATCCTGCATCAGATGATTGATATAAATTCCCATTTATTTAGCAAGGGTTCAAAGAAATGCTGTTTAAAGAGCAGATCAACTCCAATGTAGCAAAACCTGGGTCAAGGGAATAGAATTTCAAGAGCTGCATTCACAATTTGAACACATGCAAGTACTTCCTTGCCTTCAAGGTGGGGTTCCTAGAAAATGAACTCCAAGGGTAACTTGCCAAGCCTACATCCCTTCCTCACTGTGAACATGTCCATGCACTGGGGACACAGTCAGTATGCCGTGGAGCTTCCTGCAAGATGCTTCCTTCTCCCCATCTTCCCCTGGAGCCGTCCCAAACAGGCTGCAGGAGAATCTCACAGGATGAGGGTTTAAATTTACGCTTTTTCTGCTTTTAACTGAAGGACTTCTTTCAGCCCCCATGGTCAAAAGCAGCTTGGTTTACTGGAATCTCTAAAGTCTGCAGAGCAGACAGCAGAGAGAGCTATAAAATAAGGCTCTTCATTTTCTATCCCTACCTCCCCAATGCCAGCAGAAAGCAGAAAACGGAGAAAGAGAAAACAGATCAATGAAGACAGTGTTTAGTGAGATACAAGAGGGGGACGTCCTCTGGTGATTCACAGGTGCATCAAAGGAAGGGTCAACATCACCAGCAAACAGGCACCCCTCTTACAAAGCCTTTAAAACTTGCTTGTTTCTAAGAGCTTCCAGTTTAAATATTACACTTAATCACCAACGATGCTACAAGTACAGCAAGCCAGGAACTTGCCACAGCATTTAGTTACATATTCCCTGTACTGATCACATATCTGCAGATAAAAAGCTAAGTGTCAGTAGGCCTGAACCAGACAGGTTCTTCATAGCAAAATGCTTTTTGTATCCACACACTCCCATTCAAGCGTAAAATATGAGTTCGGGAATTTGTCCTCCCTGTACCCCCGTGCCATTTGTACTGTCCGAGGAGCACTGAAACTGAACAGTCACCTTCCCACACTGAACTTCTGTCATTCCTTCCTGTCCAAAATAGCTGAGTTCGTTACCATCCAAAATCACGCTTGCTGTGTAAAAGGTGTCAGGCTCAATCTGCACTGGATATTCAAACCACACGGGAAAAGTGTTACTAGAGCCATCCGAGAAGTATTTACTCAAGTTCTGGCCCAGGATAACTCCCTGTCGCTTCAGTTCGATCTTGGCGCTGTACTCTGCCGACCCACAGCTGGAGCCGTAGAGCCCAAAGCCGGCAATGAACACTCTCTTATCAACAGCAAACTGGATGCTGTCACAGCGGCCCCGGTAGCGCCACTGGTTGCTGCGGTAAGCGCAGGACTGGAAGCGGTGGCAGCGCTGAGGGACGAGGCCTTTCCGGGGCTTGCTGACAAACTGCAGCTCCGGCTTTTTGGCAGCCGTGTACCAGAGGAAGATGTCGTTGGTTTCGTTGAGCGTCAGGATCCCGGACTGAGCAGCGCCGTTGGCGAAGTCGTCGAGGGCCATGGTAGGGATGCGGATCAGGTAGAGAGCCTTGCCCAGCACCTTGCGCTTGTTCTCTATGGTGGCCGTCAGCTCCTGTCGCTGGCACTCCACTTCAGCCCAGTTCAGAGCTGCCTCGAAAACAACAATTTCTTTGGCATTCAGAGTCTCCCTTCGGAGAATGCTTTCAAGAGTCTGAAAATCAATGTCACAGAAGCCCTCAGACTTCAAAGCGAGCTCAGCTTGGGCATCAATCACTTCCCAGCAGCGCTGGGTCAGGTCAGGTTCCTCGAATAGGCAGCTCTGGGAGAGCAGCACACAGGCATTCTTTGCACTCAGACTTGTCTCGAGGAAGTTGACGCAGGCTCGGGCCAGGTGAGGGACGATGTACTTCTTGGCAGCATAAAGAGTGGCCAGGACGGTGTCTGCGGCCAAATCGATCTCATCACAATAGATGTACCTGAAATAAAGCACACGGGTGTAACGCTGCTGCTTGACGCAACAACAGTCTGTCAGCAACAAACTCACACAAAATCAGAAACACGGAATATTTAAATGGCTCCACATTAAAACCAAGCAGTGCTTTGGGAAGTA